TGTACCTAAAAAAGGTAGGAAAAACAAATGCCAAGAAAACTTTTGCAATCAGACACCATTAATTGGGTGAAATTGAAAAACATTTTCTTTTTCCACCTAATCTTCTAGGCTATCAAACACAGGCTAATTGAAATATGGCTTACTATTCCAACACATGGATCTGACTCAATTATCATTGGTCGAGCCAGCACCCAATGATGGGGCACTGCCGCTTATGCGGCTCCGTAGGAATTTACTATTGTCATTAGGAGCCAGGGAGGAAACTTGAAGCGTAGGGAGTCAGGGATGAAAGGTTTGGAAGATGGGGCATTTTTTTAAATTAAATGTCACATTTTTATTAAAAAATGACATACAATGTCACTTTCATTAAAATGTGACATTTGTCACTCAAAAAGCAATAGTAATTTCTAGAAAGTGACATGATAGAAAGTAAAAAAAACCGTGTAAAATCTAGTTCATTAAAAAAGTGACACAATGTTCATTTTTAAAGTAATTTGTTACTTTTTTATATATAATATCACTTTTACTAAAAAGTGATATTTGTTACTAAAAAAAGTGACAGAAAATTTTTAAAAAAAGTGACACTAAAACAAGTAATTGAAATTCAAAAAAAGTGACAAAATATCAAATAGTAGAGCCCATTCAAAAAGCACCCAATTTTCTTCCACATACCATCATCAGAATCCAAAGAGGATATCATAATAAACTCTCTGAAATAGTATATATTTGGGGGAATATCAATAGGGTTTGAATAAGTTAAATTGGATGCACTTGGAATGGAATATCCATGAGGATTATACGAGGGAATGGGGATTGATGTCATCTAATCTCAGTATTTTCGATAGTTTAATGTTGTTGGAGCTTGGAAATACTATACTATCCACGTGCTAAAGTTTGCATCACATCGTTCTTTTTCAGGCAACTTAAATTTTTTTGGCAATGAGAGCTTACAATTTCTTGATCTCGAAAGGACCACAAACACAACTTGTTCGGCGTGGCAAAGTTTACTTCAAATAGTTTCTTGCTTTTTTAAAATGAGAAATCCGAATCCTAATATTTTCCCCAGCTAGAAATTGAAGCAATTTTCATTTTTATTCAACTAAACTTAACCCTCAATAACGCAAAACTTCACGAAGTACGTTGACGAGGTAGATATTTCTCGATGCCAGTAACAATTTCCGGTGGGAAATCCGATCAACATCTCGAGAAAGAGGAACCGAAGATTCAATAACTCAAAAACCTATAATCGAACATCACCTCCCTTCCATGGCGGATCTCTTACTTCAAGGCATTCTCCAGTTCTATATTTACAATGTTATGCATATGTTTTAAGCTTCCACGACTATAAGTTGATTTTTTTTGATAAATTGTCCAAAGTTGCCGGAAAATGGAAAGGAAAACGAGGAGTGCCCACCCATGAATTGGCTATAATTCATATTCCTCTGCGCCTGTGTTCAAGGGCTTGGGAGGTTTTAGGGGTTTTATAACGTACTGATTATGTTCTTAAAAGATTTAATTAGTTAATACGGTATTAATCAATTTAATTATTTTTTTAGAATTATGCTATTTGTACAATGTTTTTGTACAACATTGTTGACAATATTGATTGTGGCAAAAAAGTATTGGTNATTGTACATCAAGCACTACTCATTTTTTTTAGGGCATTGGGCCTAATTTGCCCTTATGGTTTGTATTGTTTCACAATTCAATTGCATAATCAAATAACAAACAAAGCAATTCCTATTTCCAAACCGGCAAACCCTCTCTCTCTCCCTCTGCCACCTCCCACTGCGCACTTAGCCCCTGCCCCGTGACTTGTTCTCGACTGCCGAAGAGTCGCCGCCAAATTATATTTTCTTTGTGTATGATTTTTACATTTTAATCCATTTAATATAAATTGAAGAATTTTTAATATTTTTTAATTAAATATTAATAAACGACCTCGTTATTACGGTTGTTGATTGTCGACGGTTAATCGTCAATGCCACTCTAAATAATTAATTGAATTCCAATTTTTGTACCGTCCGCAGTTCACGGCAATTTGAAGCAATGGAAGGTTTAGTGAGGGCTCTATGTGCAACTCTCCTAATTTCATTATTGCAAACTGTCACAAGCAAGATATCCTTTGCTAGATTTATGAACTTCAGATTTGACACTTGTCATAAACTGATTGGATGAAGGTGATTCCACAAAGGCAAGATATTCCAATCTGTAATTGTATGATCTAGCCACGTGGCAATAAAGGGGTCCCACATGATCTTATAAAGCCAACAGCTGCAAAGAATTAGATTTGTGGATATACTAAAAGATATAAGGATAAGAGAATTCACTTCTCATTGGCTAATATGAAATTCACAAACAAATATCAGCCGTTGAATCCAAAAAATCTGCCAAATCATCAGTTCATATTTTGTATTGAATCAGCACCACAAGATTGCGATTGAAAAGACATAGAAATGCATACAAAGATAGCTACAAAAATTCAGCTACTACATTTTCTTGGAACTCAATTTCAAACCAATACTCGATTAGGAAACATGGCCGCAACACAAGCTTCGATTGCCGCTTTCCAGCCATGCACATTGAAAACCCGGTTTTTGAATGGATCCTCAGGGAAATTGAACCGTGAAGTGTCGGTTAAACCCGCAACTTCTTCGTCCTACAACTCATTCAAAGTCGAAGCCAAGAAAGGCGAGTGGCTACCAGGCTTGGCCTCTCCTAGTTATCTTGATGGCAGGTAGTGACTCAATCTAGTTACATTTAGTAATCCCATGCCATAGATGTCCTTCTCGGTTAGTAGAGGCAGAATCTGAGTCTGAGTAGAGTTGAATTATTGGCTATATTAAGTTTGTGTTCGCTTGATTTCAAGAATCTCGAATGAGTTTTAGTCGAGTGAGCTCGAATCTAATGATCTCATGGTTTTTTAGCGTGCAAACTTGAGCAGAGTTTAGACTATATTGACACGTTTAGTAAAGCAATTTTGATGGCACTCAAAAAAATTACCGAATGAAAAGAAGTTAAAATCTTGTACTCTTGTAATTTAATATTGCACATCGAGCATGCATCGCATATAATATGAGATCTGTTTTCAGGACAATTAATCAATATTGGTTGTGTTTTTTCAGTCTTCCTGGTGACAACGGATTTGATCCATTGGGACTTGCTGAGGATCCAGAGAACTTGAAATGGTTTATACAGGCAGAGCTAGTAAATAGCAGGTGGGCAATGTTGGGTGTTGCTGGTATGCTATTGCCTGAAGTTTTCACCAAGATTGGCATCATTAATGTTCCCCAATGGTACGATGCTGGGAAATCCGTGTACTTCGCCTCATCCTCGACCCTTTTAGTGATTGAGTTCATCTTGTTCCACTACGTCGAGATCAGAAGGTGGCAAGACATTAAGAACCCTGGAAGTGTGAACCAAGATCCCATTTTCAAGAACTATAGCTTGCCTCCAAATGAAGTTGGATACCCTGGTGGCATTTTCAACCCCTTGAACTTCGCCCCAACCGAAGAGGCCAAGGAGAAAGAGCTGGCAAATGGTAAGATAAGAACACTCTACTCGAACTAGACACATTTGTGAGAGACGTTATTTCTTGTGTTTGGTATACAAGTACCATCCAATTTAGTCATGCCATCGAAAACAATTTTCGATATTGTATACTAATTATGTGGTGTACTTTGCAGGGAGATTGGCAATGTTGGCATTCTTGGGATTTGTGGTTCAGCACAATGTGACTGGGAAGGGACCATTTGAGAACTTGTTGCAGCACCTCTCAGACCCGTGGCACAACACAATTATTCAGACATTCAGCAGTTAATTTTTCCATATTGGAGAAGAAATTAAATTAAATTAAAGATCATCTTTCTTATATTTAATCTTGAGTGAATTGTTTTGACCTTGATTTGATCTGTATTTGTAAACAAGGAGCCTTCGATGTACAGGGAACTAAAAATGGCACATAGTCCCCTCTAAATTATTCATAAATATAAACAATTTCCCATGAAACAAGTAGAAAGCCAAGCAAGTTTCACAACACACGCACACCTACACACGCAAACCTTCCTCCGGCTTGGGCTCGGTACAACCTTAGAGGAGTGATGGCTGGACAAAAAATTCCATAAAGAAAAAGGTAAGAGAAAATGCCTGTTTATACAAAGAAAGCTCTTATTTTGTGGTGACGTGTTTAGTATACAGAAAATGTCTCAGTAATCTGAAATGATTGAATGAGCCGCAGAGCCATTGTCTGTAGCTGCACTATAAATTCAATTTAGAACTGAAAACTTGAAGCAACTCTCGATTGATAGAAAATTTGTGTGAGATCTGGAACGAGCCTTTCAGCTAGTTGTTCAAGTGGTTTGGTGGCTGCAAAATAAAAATCACTTCAAGTCAGATATCTGCAATAGCTAGTAGATTCATGGCAATTAGAATTTAACATCAAACATAACTAAATAAATTGATATAGTCCCTGGCGCCTTTTTTTTATTTGAAATGATTTATATAAACTGTTGCAAAAGGGCTGCAAGATTATCTCAATTCACTAGATTATGCTATTCAGTATTCATGGATAGACATCCCTGTATATCAATCTATGATCGAAGATAATTGAAAGAAAAAAATATGGAAGTGCAGTGAAAAGTAGTTCTTTATGTCAATCGACAGTGGTAACTAACTGAATCTTTGAATAATTATGCAACTAAATCAAGCTTTTGAAAGAAAAAAAAAGCCCTGTTCATTAATAATGTGCCTTTGATTTCTCAGATTATCAAATATCCAATTTCTAGCCCGTAACTAGAAAACGTGGTTTGTAATTTCTCATTCTTATTCTTCACCACGAAAATATTATGCTATCAACAAACATAGCCAATTCTTATTTTTCATCGTTAAAAAAGTCTTTTTTTTTTGGCTTGAACCAAAAGAAGAATCAGATAATGAAATCCAGCCTACAAATGCCATATATCGACAAGGTAACTCACCTGTTGTTGATAGGAGTTATTATTAAGGTTAGATAGGACAGAAGGGCCGGATGCCGATACTATATTATGCTCCAAATCATTGAAAACGGATCTTGGTAGTTCAAAATTGCCATTAATTTGATAATCCATGGTACTCGGGTGAAAATTCACCTCTCTTTCAGGCTCCATCATTTCTGGCAAACTTAAATTCCCGTATGAATGGTAGGAATATTGCTCGCCTAGAGGTAGTCTCATGTGAGAAGAACTATTAGTATAATCATCAATTGTAATCCCATCTTGTCTTCCAATATCCACAAGTTTTGAATTGTCAAGGTCTGCTTCTTTCTTGACACCAAATAAACCCGAGCAGCTTGGAAGGGATGTATCTATGGAGCACTCCATATCTCTACAGAGCAAGAACAGAAATTAAAGAGATTGTATAACATATTATGCTAGTTCAGAAACAATGTTGAAAAAACACTCGCAGAAGATTTTACTTAGTTTTGTGTTTGGTAGAAATTAAAATCCAAATTTTAATCTAAGTCAAAGTCAACAATTAATTTAAACTACACATTTTGTGGGACCCACAACTTTTCAACCACATATTTCATCAACTTTTATCAAAATCTACTAAAAATTTGATTTTATTCCCCACCAAACAGGGGCTTAATACATATCATAATTTTAACTCATTAGAAGATAAAATCCCTTATCAAATTGAATTTCTTAGTTTTATCCATGACTGATAGTACAAAATTGGCTTGTCCATCGTTGTTCCGGGATATGTCTTGTAAAGTTACTGCTAAACATTGCATTTGCAACTTGTATAACGTGAATAAAACAAAATTGGGAATTCTTTATTCATCCGGAAAGGTAACAACATTCAAAGTGCTATCATGGACACAAATATCGATGTATCTAAATTCACAACAAACTACCAAAATCACAACTGCGCCTAATCTTACACAGGTAATTCAAAATTTTCAAGAAATTTTAGGAATACAGAAATCAACTCACCTACAAGACAAAAAATGGGGTTCGTCTGGTAGCATCATATGTTGCCTCTCAACATTTGGAAACCACGACTGTGTTTGGCAATCCTGACCACCACCAGTGATCAGGGGAAAATGCATCCCATATTCGGCCTGTAATGCATGACATTAATATTATCCAAATCAAATATACTTGCTATAAACTTCAATCACTATTAAAGTCACCACATACAAAAACCTAATACGCAATAAGATAGAAATAGAGACGGAGAATTCTCCACTAGAAGAATGCTTCTTTACCTGGCCGGTGCAGTCTAAGGGCATAAGTTGGTCATTCCCTAAGTTTTCCAGCTGAAACGAACTCTGGAAAGTTACTTCTGTTAGAAAAGGTCAGACAACATCCAAAAAAACCACTCAAACAATTAACACCAACATATGCTGAAAATTATCAGTTTTCGGCCTCTGTCCATACTAAGGTCAGGCAGGATGAAGTACTGCCGGAGACATTGATATATTAGTAATTATTTTTCAAATATTGAAAAAAAATTCCACAAATTAAACTTAGGGTGTGTTTGTCTCTCATTATTGGGAGAAAAATAGAGTAATGAATAGTATTTTTTGGAGAATGTGTGGTTGAAATTTAAAGTAACTTTATTGGTTTGTGTGTAGAATATTTTATTGGGTGAATGTGTGGTGGAGAATCTT